CTGCACACCCTCTCTGATCACCTTCTTCTTGTTCACATGCCTGTAGAAACCTTTCTTGTTATCCTTCACATCCTTAGCCAGTCGCAATTCCATTTGCGCTTTCACCTTCCTGATAACCCCCCGGCATTCTCGATCTATACCTTTAAACTCCTCCCTGGTCATTTGTCCAAGTTTCCACTCTTTGTAAGCTTCCTTTTTGTGCTTAAGTTCACCAAGGATTTCCCCTGTAAGCCAGTCCGGTCTCCTACCATGTTTGCCTCTCTTGCTTGCTATGGTTTCTTTCTGTGCCTTCAATAAGGCTTCTTTAAAATACTGCCAGCTGTCCTGGACTCCTTTCCCCTTCATGTTAACATCCCAGGGGATTCTGCCCATCAGATCTTGGAGGGAGTCAAAATCTGCTTTTTTGAAGTCCAAGGTGTGTATTTTACTACTCTCTTTTCTTCCTTTGGTCAGGATCCTGAAATCTACCATCTCATGATCACTGCTTCCCAGGTTGTCACCCACCTCCACTTCCCCTATTAGTTCCTCCCTGTTTGTGAGCAGAAGGTCAAGCTGCGCACGGCCCCTGGTCGGATCCTTCAGCACCTGTGTCAAGAAGTTATCCCCAACATCCTCCAAAAACTTCCTGGATTACCTGTGTACTGCCGTATAGGTTTTCCAGCAGATGTCAGAGTGATTAAAGTCCCCCATCAGAACCAGGGCCTGCGATCTGGAAGCTTCTCTCAGTTGTCCGAAGAAAGCCTCATCTACTTCATCCACCTGATTCGGTGGCCTGTAGCAAACACCAACCACAACATCAATGCTGTTGTTTGCTCCTTTAAACTTAACCCATAGACTCGCCTGCAGTGCATAGAAGGTGTGGGGGGAGGGGGCTGAGAGCTGCTCCTAGCTGTGTCCCTGTCCCCCAGGCTCCCATCCAGGCCAAGGGTAGATGGACAGTCCACTGTTCCACATGGGCTCCCCACAGCTGCCAGTGTGGCTCTTCCCAACCAGGCTCCAGTGCCAAGGGAAGGTACCTCAGAGCCTTAGCCAGGCCCTGGTATAGAGCCCTGCAAATCTGCAGATAATGTTTGCAATCGTGACTCGATTGCAGATGCATATTTTTGTATCTGCGCCAGACTCTACTTACCTGCCAGACTGTCTCTTTTTTACATGTTGACCACAATTGTATAGCTTGTTCTGCCAGGCAGGTCTCACTGAACTGAACAGAACAATTGATCTGTGTAAGTGAGGAAGTGTGTGTCGGGGGAGCAGTTGTGTGGGGAGTTCACTGTGCATGTGCATGACAGAGTGTGTGTGGGGAGCTCACCAGGCACTTGCACAATGGAGTGTATGTGTCACTGTGGAGGGGATTGTATGGAGCTCAATGTGCTTGACAGTGTGGGAAAATGTTTATGGGGACCCTACCATGCCTATGCATCACTGGGGGAGGCATGTTTGTGGGGAGGTCATTGTGCATTGCCTTCTATGATGAGATAACAGGCTCTGTGGATATGGTAAAGTCAGTGGATGTGATGTACCTTGACTTTAGCAAAGCTTTTGATACGGTCTCCCACAATATTCTTGCATGGTGTCAAGTAACAGAGGGGTAGCCGTGTTAGTCTGAATCTGCAAAAGCGGCGAGGAGTCCTGTGGCACCTTATAGACTAACCGAAGTGTCGGAGCATAAGCTTTCATGGGCAAAAACCCACTTCGTCAGATGCATCTGACGAACTGGGTCTTTGCCCACGAAAGCTTATGCTCTGACACTTCGGTTAGTCTATAAGGTGCCACAGGACTCCTCGTCGCTTTCACAATATTCTTGCCAGCAAGTTAAGAGAGTATGGATGGGATAAATGGACTATAAGATGGATAGAAAGCTGGCTAAACTGTCGGGCCCACCGGGTAGTGATCAATGGCTTGATGTCTGGTCAGTGGTTGATTTCAAGCAGGGTGTCCCAAGGGTTGATTCTAGGGTCGGTTTTGTTCATAATCTTTATTAATGACGTGGATGAGGGGATGGATTGCACCCTCAGCAAGTCTGCAGATGACACTAAGCTGGGGGAGAAGTAGATACATTGGAGGGCAGGGAGAGGGTCCAGAGTGACCTACACAATTGGCAGATTAGGCCAAAAGAAATCTGATGAGGTTCAACAAGGACAGAATCCCAAGCACTGCTACGGTCTGGGGTCCGACTGGCTAAGTAGCAGTTCTGCAGAAAAGGACCTGGGGATTCCAGTGGGTGAGAAGCTGCATATGCGTCAACAGTGTGTCCTTGTAGCCAAGAAGGCTAACAGCATATTGGGGTGCATTAGGAGGAGCATTGCCAGCAGATCTAAAGAAGTGATTATTCCCCTTATTCAACACTGGTGAGGCCACATCTGGAATATTGTGTCCAGTTCTGGGCCTCCCACTACAGAAAGGATGTGGATGCATTAGCGAGGATCCAGCAGAGTGCAACGAAAATGATTAGGGGGCTGGAGCGCATGACCTATGAGGAGAGACTGAGGGATTTGGGCTTATTTAGTCTGCAGAAGAGATGAGTGAGGGGGGATTTGATAGCAGCCTTCAACTTCCTGAAGGGAGGTTCCAAAGAGGCTGGAGAAAGGCTGTTCTCAGTAGTGACAGATGGCAGAATAAGGAGCAATGGTCTCAAGTTGCAGTGGGGAGGTCTAGGTTGGATATTAGGAAAAACTATTTCCCTAGGAGGGTGATGAAGCACTGGAATGGGTTCCCTAGGGAGGTGGTGGAATCTCCATCCCTAGAGGTTTTGAAGTCTCGGCTTGACAAAGCCCTGGCTGGGATGATTTAGTTGGGTTGGTCCTGCTTTGGGCAGGGGGCTGGACTCGATGACCTCCTGAGGTTTCTTCCAGCCCTGGGATTCTGATTCTATGAGTGTGGGCCGTGGGGAAAAGCTTTGTGTATGTTTCTGCTCTGCCCCACTTGTGGGCTGTTTTTTACTTTACCTGCCACTGCTGCTTGCATCTGGGATCCCTGTCTGGGCACCACTGAATGAGCCCTTGTCATCTGGTGCAGTGCCTGCAGGCACTTGAGTGGTTTCCATCTCTGGAGAGCCCTCCAAGGAGAGAGCGGAGTTGATCAGCTGTTGGATGCTCTCCTGCATGTGCGGCTCTCTGGCCCTTTCAGTTGTGGTACTGGGTCTCATGACTGATGGGGAAGTTTCAGGGGTGGCTGCGATTGGCTGATCTTGCAGGGAGCCTGTTAGCTCTGGGCCCTCTCCAGGCTCAAGACTTTTCTGGGCCACCAGCAGGTCTGAGATGGGCTTCCTGGTCAATGGTTCCTGGCCCGAGACAGCATAGGCATATTTCAGAATGGTGTTGACATTGGAGTGGAGACGGATGTCTGGATGCAGCAGGGAAGCCTGACTCATTTGCCTAGGGTGCCCATGGAGCAGCGCTGGGGGAAGAGAGGACAGAGCACCTGAAGTAGGGGCTGAGCCTCATCTGCATTCCTTGGAAGAGTTACTGTATGAGGAAACACCCTCCTCCCCCGCATGCACACACACCCACGCACCCCGTCCAGCGGGGTCTCTTTCAGATTCATGTTCCCTGGCTTTGCACTCTTGCATCCCCACTGGCTGCTGAGCTGCACACACTTCTGTGACATGACACTTGATATTCTTTATGAAAATATGCTTCTGATAAGGAGAGGAGAGAACTGAGATGTACTTTAGGCAAGATAATGCATGTAAAGTGTCATTGGAAAGATTAGGATTTACTGAATATGATGATTCTATTTGTGTGCATGTATCATTTCTGTATCTGAAGTTAGGATCCAGCCTTTCCACCCAAAGAGTTGCTTGAAAAGATCTGGATCTGGAAACAAAAGGACTCAAACAGATTTGGGGGTGGGAAGAACTAGTGAATCCAGCCTAAAAAGGTATCTGAAATAATTTTGTAACCAATTTCTTTAGTGAAATTAAGCTTAGTTTGCATACTTTGTATTATTAGTAATCTGCTTTGTTCTGTTTGCTATCGCTTTAACTACTTTAAATCTACTGTTTGCAGTCAATAAACATATCTCTTGTTTATAATATAACCCAGTTTATGTAATTTCTACCTGGGGCGTGTGGGCAATTTGTGCATGCCTTCCTCCACATTAAGGGAGAAGGTGAATTTCATTTAATTTTGGGTTTGTACCCCACTAGAGATGAACACCTGGAGCTGGGGGAAGTCCCTTAAGCCAGATCTTTCCAGAGCTGATCTTAGTGTCCAAATCATTTTTCAGCTGGTAGTGGCCCCACCTATGTGCTTGGCTAGAAGAGGCTTGTGAGCATGGCCCAGCAAGAACAGGTAAAGGGGACCCAAGCTGGCAGAGTAGGCTGACCCAGTGGTATCTCAGGTCATCAGGGGCCATCTCAATTGGTCCCAACCCATCACAACTTCTTGTGATATAAGTGTGCGCACCAATGTGTCCATAAACTTCACACATACAACCTTTGTTCCACACTGCCAGGGATTCACTCTTACACCCACTTTATGACATGTTGGCCTGCTCCACCATGCACACCTATATGGTTCTCTTATCTCCCATCATGCCCAAACCCTGTAGAGAGGTTCTCAAAGAATCCGGGCATCGAGAAGAGACAGGATGAGAAGGGTATATGGAGAAAGAACCAGAAATGGAAACAGAATTCATCCAGCACTATGGTACCTGCTTCGCTAGTGGACCCAGCACGGGAAGACCAGTTGCTTTTTTCCCAAGATCCCGTGGTATCAGATCCCTCCCCTTGGGCACGAGGTTCTTTGGGGGGAGCCATATCAGGACATAGGATCCGCTGAATGGGGGAAAAGAACCGTGAATCTACAGATCCCATGGCAACCATCCTCCTGAAGCCCACATCTCCACTGCATTACACCCAGTGAAACCCTCCCCTACCGCAGCAATCCTCCTGACTGAGATAATCCTAACAAATGCCTCACCTCTACTTCTGTAATCCCCCTGATTCCCTCTCCTCCCCTGCGATGATCCTCTCAATGCCCTTCCCTCACAACACAACCACTGCTGGAAACACCTCCCCTCACCTATGACACCCCACTTCTCCTCTCTATAGCAACCATGCCCTCTACAGCCCTCCCTTCCACTGCCTTAATCATCGCCACATCCCTGACTGCTCCACTTCAGCTACCCCCCCAAAACCCCTCCTCCTTTACTCTTGTAATCTGACAACCCTTTCCTGTGACACTCTGCCCCATAGTCTTCATAGAGCCCTTGTTATGATAGGAGCATGGAGTAACTGAGATATGTTTTATGCAAGACGAATCATTGGAAAGGTTACAATGTACTATGATTATTGTATTTCTCGGCATGCATCATTTTTGTATCTGAAGTTAGGAATATTGTCAACATACCTATTATAGCTGTGTTTACACCTGGGGAACGCCTACCAGACACAATGCCATCAGCCTGGATGGGCCATTAGGGGGAACAACAGGACTTTGAAGATGCTAATCTCCTGCTTTCCTGGCATGCAAGATTGGTGCTTCGCTGCTTTGACACTGCAGGGTCATGTGATCATGTCACCTGGTACAGATTCCATCTTCGACTACCTAGTATTTTGCTATTAATAGGGTATGGGGATCAAACTGGGAAACAAAGGATTCCTGCGATATGTCAATCCTATTTAAGGCAGGGAAGTGAGTTAACACAGGCTCTTTCTTTACTGAATCCCCAGGTGACTGCTGAAAACTTCTAGGAAATCAAGACAAAAAAGGTGGAGGGAGAAGACCTGAGCCCAGGCTGGAAATGCTGCCTGGCCTATGAAAGAAATGCCTAAACCAACAATTAGGGTGAGAAATTGCCACATGTAACCAATTTCCTTAGTGTGTTAAGCCTAGTTTTCCTGTTTGCTTTATTTGCTCAGTAATCTGCTTTGATTTGTTTACTATCCCTTATAGTCACTTAAAATCTGGTTTGTTATAAACTTGTTTTTGTTTTTTCTAAAGCCAGTTTGTGACCTTCATACTGGGGGGAGGAGGGGAAGAACTGCATATCTTCCTCTACAAAGAGGGAGGAGACACATTTCATGAGCTTATGTGGGACAGTTCTCGGCGCAATGCAAGGCAATACAATTTTGGGCTTGCACCCCAGAGGGGGTATGCATGTGAGTACTGGGCAATTTCCTCGCTGAGTCTTCCCATGGAGATCTGATTTCAGTGTCTATGTCTTTCTGCAGCTGGGTGTGTGTTAGAGGAGGCTTGAGGGCCTGGCTCAGTAGGACAGGGTGAAGGAGTCCAAGCTGGTGGGACAGGAAGGCTTACTGGTGCCCCAGTACACCTCTCCCTAGTAACCTGTCAGACCTCCCATGCATTGCAGTAACCCACCCTCCCAAATGTTTCCCTTCAATAATCTCCTGCAAAATCCTTTTGTGCACCATGATGATCTTATTAAAATCCCTCCCCTGCACTGAGAAATGCACCACACACATCCTCCTCTTTACTGTGATAATCTCCTACAAAACCACAGCCGTTTTTCCAGAAAAACTACACTTATGTCCACACTGCAATTGCATTCTTTTGACAAAAAGTCAAAAGAACAGAGGGGTTTTTCTGACAGTGACAAACTTCTTTCTACAAGGAAGAAGCCTTTTTCAAAAAGAACTCTTTGAAAAAAGGCATGTGTGGATGGGGGAAGAGGACTTTTTTTTTGAAAGAAGAGGCCTCCAGGAAAAAGCACAGGTGCCCTGGTGGCCACTCTGTCCATAGTAATTACAACTTAAATGTGAGATAGCATCCAATCAATATGGACACTATCATTCAAAAAAGCAGATCGCTTTTTCAATGCGCTTTTGCTGTGTGGACACTCTCTTTCGAAGAAGATTTTTCAGAAGATCTCTTCCAGAAAAGCTTCTTCCAAAAGTGTAGACATAGCCTACCTGATAATCCACCCAAACCCCTATGCACACCCTCCAGGGGGAAAATCCCCCCAGAAACCCTGTTCCTTCACTGCAATAATTACCTTCACAACCCTCCTTTCCAATGCAATAACTTCCCAAATCCCTCCCCATATCTGCCAAAGCCCCTCAGCCCTCTTCCTTCTGTTGGAGTTATCCCAAGAAATGCCTCCCTCTCACTGTGAAAATCTCCATGAACCCTCACCCCTCTCCCGCTATGACAATCCCTCCCCCAAGCCCCAACCATCGACTGTGCTAATCCCCGGAAGCTCCTCTGTGACAGAATACACTCTGTATTCACATGCTACACCCTGCTATAATAACCTTAGTACAAAGTATGCCTTGTAACACACTTTTTTAAAAGCCTCATAATCTGCTGGTTAGTATTGTCTTTTAACAAGCCAAATGTAAAATGTGTGTGACAACATTGGATGTGAAGTTATAAGATTCTGTTCTATGATGTTCTTAGCTCATGTTCCAGTTCCCAGACAGAAGTCAGATCTGTCCCAAACAAAGAAAGGATTGTGTGCTTGCCTTAATTTGCATTTAAACAGCAGAGTCATCCGTACAAGTGAAAAAACCAGCAGCAAATGCCCTTTCACACAGACTCTCAAATATTTTTCAAGGAGGGACAAACACACTAAGGTACCATCCTCCTCTCCCTTTGCCCATCACATTCACTGCCCCTGAAGAGAAAAAGGAAGCAACGGTTGCACTCTGAAGGAGGGGTTTTCACCTGCAGAGACTGGGTGGTATGACCGCTGAAAGCAAGTGATGTGAAAATGTTGCTTTAAATCTAATATAGTTTGATAAACTAGACGCTAGAACACATTTTATCTTAATTTTTCTTGTAGCCAGTTCTGACTTTTAAGCCTCATTACTTGTACTTATTTACAATCTCTCTCTGTAGTTAATGAACTTGTTTTAGTGTTTCATCTCATGTATTCAAGATGAAGTGCGTGGGTAACTCCATTTGGGGAAACACGTTGTGCGCCTATTACTCCCTCAAAGAAATAGCAGACGCAATATATTGGTGCTATCCAGGTGAGGGTTGGGTAGTATAGGACATACATCTTTGGGGGAATAGTGATAGAAATGTAGCCATGTTAGTCTGGTGTAGCTGAAACAAAAAACAGGACTATGTAGCACTTTAAAGACTAACAAGATGGTTTATTAGGTGATGAGCTTTCGTGGGCCAAACCCACTTCCTCAGATCAAATAGTGGAAGAAAATTGTCACAACCATATATACCAAAGGAATCCTCTGAACTGTCATTCATGCTTAAATTCAACACTTTACACCTAAGCTTAAACAAAGACATTAATTATCTTACCCATTACAAAGATAGCTTCCCCAATTATCACCTCTAATATCATTAACTCACAGACATTTACCTTCCCCCCCATCCCTCTTCTGTTCTGAAATTTGATTTGTCCTTTTCATATGTGTTCACTTTTTTTTAATTGTATCCTTTGGTATATATGGTTGTGACAATTATCTTCCACTATTTGATCTGAGGAAGTGGGTCTGGCCCACGAAAGCTCATCATCTAATAAACCATCTTGTTAGTCTTTAAAGTGCTACATAGCCCTGTATTTTATCTTTGGGGGAGAATCTGAGTCTGGGTCTGTGTAACCAAGGCAGGTAAGAGCCAAGGTCTGGCTGGCTGGCTGGCTGGCTGGCTGGCTGGTTGCAACACAGACAGAGCTGGGAGTAATTTACATGCTGGAGACTGTGAGCAGTCTGGGTTGGAGGCTGCAGCAGCAGCAAGGCATTGTAAAGGTCACCCTAGGAGTTATGGGACAGAGGTGACAAAGCCCCTACCCCAGTATACCCCTGGCATGTCTCACCTTCCCTCCCCATACAATAACCATGGCCTCACCATCTCTCCATTGCAACAATCCCTTCAAAACCCAGCTCTCCTCCAAGATAATCCATCCCTGGACCCGCCCCTCTGCTGCAATCTCCCTGAAACCGCTACCCTCCAGTGCAACAATCCCCTTTCAACTCCTGCCTTCCATTGTGCTAATCCTTTTGAAGCCCCTGCCCTGCACTGAGATATTCCCCTGAGCAGCCTCCCCTCACTGCAACAATCTCTGCAGACATGGCAACCCTCCAGCGCAATAATGCCCAGAAATACCTCCCACCCTCTGAGCTAACCCTGTCGCCTCTGCACTGGGCTAGTCCCCTTGTAGCCCCAACCCTTCACTGCCATAATTCACTCCTGAATTCTACCACTCCACTGCAATAACCTCCACAAATGTCATCCCCTCCATTGTGATAATGCCCTTGAATCCCTCCCCTCCATTGCAATAATTTGCCCCAAATCCCTCCCCTCCAATAACCCTCCCAGAAGCCCCTCTCTTCCACTGTGATGCAGTTCACAGATGCCCTCGCTTTTCACTGTGATATTCCTTTTGAAACCCCCCATTACAAATCCTCCCGAGCCCCTCTGCCCTACACAGCAATAACCCTCCCCACCACTGTGATCTCTCCCTCACCTGCTCTCCTCTACAAGGATAACCCCCACCCCATGTGTTCACTCCACTGCAACAATCCCCCTGCAACCACTCCCCTTCACTGCAATAATTCCATGGAGTCCCCTCCCCCAGACTGTTATAATTCCCTCAGAATCCCTCCCCTCTGCTACAATGATCCTACTGATACCCCTCCCCGTGCTGAGATGAGCACCCCAAAACACCCCTCCCTTTTCTGCCTTAATGCCCCACAAAGCACTCCTCTCCTCTGCTGCAGTTCTCCCCAAACCTCTCCCCTCCACTCCAATAATGCCTTGAAATTCCTTCACTCTGCTGAAAAACCCCTCCTGTATACGCTCCCTCACACTGCAATAACAGGTCCCCACACCCCTCCTCTCCACTGCAATGATCTTCCCAAATCCCCCCTCCACTGCAACAACCCCCAAGTCTCTTTGCTCCACTGGGATAAGTCCCCCAAAAGCCATCCCCACCACTGTTCTCACCCCCCCCTCACCTTGTTGTAGTACTTGTGGTTGGAGCAGCGATACTGTGCAAACTGGCAGAAGGTTTGAAACCACGAGGCATCAAGAAGGTCAGAACAGACAGGGCCTAGAAAGGGGGTGAGAAGGGGTGTTAGTATTAACAGGGAACTCACTCCCCTACCCAGGGGTACGTAAACCAGATTAAGGCAAGGGCACCTGTCTGTTTGGTGGGGAAGAAAATGCTAAATGGAGACCCCAAGCACCCCACTGGAGTGGAGCTGCAGCACTCTGTGTTTTATACACACTCCCTGTATGCAGTTTGTACATCAGGGGTGGGGAGCCTTTTTTGGGTCTGGGGTTGCTGACTCACAGAAAAATCAGTCAGGGGCCGCACACAAGTGAGAAGCAAAAACAAAAAACAAAAAACAAACAAAAAAAAACCCCCTGGGCCTTGGTTTCCCCACCCCTGCTAGACGTGCTTCAGTTTCCCTTATGTGTTACCTAAAGGGGGGAGAGGGCTGTTTGCCCTTGGGGCAAGCAGAGAAACATCTATCTATATATTTTAGAAATGTCTGACTGTCTGTCCATGAGTCCGTTTGTTTATGAACTCTTAAATGGTAAGAGCTAGGACCACCAAATCTGCTTCCTCTTATCTTAACTTAAAGCAAGGTCAGGGTTTGTGCCAGCAAAATGGGATGTGCCTGGAATCCAACTGTTTTCCATCACATGAAAAGGGAGGGAGTTGATCAGAGGGACAGCTGTTCTGCACAGTGACCACAGTGGGGCAGCCCCACCAGCAAGACGGTGGCCAGCTGGGGCCGGGGCTTGCCATCTTCCCAGCCACTGGACCCAATAAGTGACCCTTCTCCCCAAATCCTTCCCCCCAGCCCTCGGCCGCAGTGCCAGATGGGTAAAGAGTTCCACCAGCTACTGGCCCCACGCAGCACAGCTCCACTCCCAGGAGCCACTGGGAGGGCCAGAAACTGTGGCCTGCCCCCCTCTCCTCCTGGAGACAGCAGCAGGTGGGAACTGCTGCCGCCATGAGTAGAAGCCAGGGGGATGGAAACCAAAGGCCGTCCCCATCCCTCCTTACGAAGAGGCCCTCCTCCAGAAACTACTGGCAGGGGAGCAGGGAGCTGGATAATGCAGCCCTGGCCACCAGGAGGAGCCACCGTCCCCCCATCCCTCCCTGAAGGAGCCACCTGGGCAGAGAAACCTTGTGCCTTTCCCACCTCCTACCCTGATCCCCCACTAGGACCTAGGCAATGCCAGTTAAATCTTTTAGTGAATATATATATATACACACACACACATATAGAGCCCCAGATAGCGACCCATGATGCAGCGCTCTGTTGGTGCAAAAGCTCAGACTGTAGACACATGCAGCTGAGTGTGGAGTGGGAATGCACAACCGATGTAATGCCTTTCCCACCTCCTACCCTGATCCCCCACTAGGACCTAGGCAATGCCAGTTAAATCTTTTAGTGAATATATATATATACACACACACACATATAGAGCCCCAGATAGCGACCCATGATGCAGCGCTCTGTTGGTGCAAAAGCTCAGACTGTAGACACATGCAGCTGAGTGTGGAGTGGGAATGCACAACCGATGTAATTAGAGCAGCTTAAGATCAGTGGCATCACATCAGCCAACGTAACTCTGTATTGTAGACAAGGCTTTAATAAAGCTATGAATAAGGGCTGCTTCTTAGAGCTTCTGACACGGGGCAATTGACTGGTACAATTGCACAGCGAGAGCCTGGCGTGGAGCTGCTCTTGGCTTTGCTGCATTGGGCTGTGTCTACTCTACGCAGCTGTTGACAACCAGGCTGTGTCGATGCAGTTGTGAGGGCAAACACCATCGGCCATTTTGCCAACAAAAATACTTCAAGCACCCATGAGCAGATTTCACGTAGTCAGCAAGAGAGTGTTTGCGTTCACCACAGAAAATCTTTTGTTGTTCAAGGGTCACCCTTCTGCCCCACTGCCATGGCCATGGGAGCAAGAGCGGCCTGGCTGCCTGCGCCACTGTCCCCCGCCTCACCACCTCTCCTGGCCTGCTGCGCCCCACTCCTCTGTGGTGGTGGGAAGCGGAGCACCCTGGGGCTGTGGAGCAGGGAGGGCAGTGGAGTGGGGTGGAG